GGGGGGAGTTGGACTAGATGACCTTTGGAGGTCCCTTCCAGCCCAGACATTCTATGATTCCTGAAGTTTACTTTTACAATTCTCTTCTGCACAGCATTATGGGTATATTCCTAACAACACAGATGAGAATAAAAAGAAATTATTTTAACAGAAATTATAAAAGAATAAGAACTTCTTTATAATTTCTTGTGTAAGAAATTATAAAACAGAATATTCTTTATTGGTAGTTGAAAATAAGTTGTACATTGAAAGAAATGTATTTTAAACACTTTCTCACGTTCATCTATTGTGCCCTTTCTGTCCACATAAATTCCTTGTGTGACTGTCTGGTTTTATTTTGCCTTTAGATATGGATACCAAAATATGACAGACAAGTAATTGGCTGAAAGCTGTTCATACATTCCTAGCAAAGAGTGAAGTTTCTTAGATTTACAGTCTTATAATTGAATTTCCTTAAGCAATATAATTTATCAACTATGTCTTTACTCAACTCCATTGTCTGCTTAAATCAGAACTAACAAGTATCCTTACTGGTATAAAAATTTTACAACCCCAGCCAACTGTTCCTATCATTCTTTTTCTGCAAGAATGTTTCTTTAAAACTGGCATAAAAGAGTATGTTTTATAAAAAAAACAAGTATACTAATTAAGACTCTAATTTCGAATGAGAGATACATACACTTTTTCATTGTTCACACTAAAGAAGAGCCTTTTAGTAGGTCAAAGCAGAGAGAGTATTCCTGAAATATTATGATACCTAATTCTTTAGCCTCAATCCTGTAAGGAGGATCAGGTAATCAGTTTATTAAGCAGCCTCCTGAAGAACTTCACAAGAAACTGACAAGTTGCATTCCCTCCCCAACTCTCTTTTAAAGTTCTTAATTTAAAGGAATTCACTGTGCATACCCTATTCTCTTACTGTAAAACAGTCTTACTTTAAAACAAGCCAAAACCAAAAAGCAAACCAGTTGACGTGTTCCATCAGTGCCTGTAAGCACCTGACTGATGTAAATCTGTGTGGCGTTGTCTCTCTACCAGCCTGAACTAGAAAGGAATGTAGGGGGAGACGCAAGCATTGCGTACTTGTGGGCACGAGCAACAGCTGTCCAAAGAGCACACAGAACATTACTGCTCCCAAAATAGCTTACAGGAGAATTGAGATTGCTCTAGATAATTTTTCAAATCTGTAATAGGGGTGCACTGTCTCAGCAATGGAGTAAAGACAAATTAATTTGTTTTGTGGACTTGTGTTACACTGAAGGACCACATGGCACATTTTATTAATTTACGCAACAATACTAACACATATTGGCTTATATCATTGTATACAGGGACAAAATCTGACCTGGGCTGCCTTTTATTCCATTTACTTACCTTCTGCAATGTTTTTCATACGGGTGGACTTGTGGTACACTTTTGCTAATCCAAACAATACAGAATTTGCAGTACAGTACAGTATTTTCATCATTCTTAAGACTATGCAAGTAATAAAGTGTCCCAGTTCTGTTATTAATACAATGCTAACAGTCTGTGCTATAAAAACATGAACATCCTTTCAGCTAAACACAGACAAAAAACCTTTTTTGTTGTTACCAATCAAGTTGGATTCTCATGAAGAAACGGGTCTCAGTTCTCCATGTTTATTTTGATTTTGTTTTTAATATACTCAAAGATCTTTGGAAACAATGATATGCATTTTACTTGCCTGTAAAATTCATTCTTAGTTAAGTGACACACACCTTTTTAACCAGTACTAACAGAGTCTTGCATTCTCCAGATGCATTATTTTATGGCACTTTTTTCTCTCACTGACATCTGAAGCAACACAAGTTAACCTATGTCTGCACATCATTCTTTTTATAACTGTATATAATCCCAGATACAAGAGCAAAACTGACATTGATAGCTTCCTCCAAGTCAAATTTACTGCTATTCTCATGGTTATTCTGAGTATATAAAAATAGTAAGATATAATCTGAGTACTGCCTTGCAAAGCTGAGTCTTCAGCTTAAAAGTGTTCATCAGTGAGCTAGTCCAGTCTGTCACTGTACTTAAATAATTCTAGGAATATTTTATAAAATAAGAAAATACAGGATCAAAGATGCGTAAGATAATAGTATAAGTGGTTATAGGTGCATATATATATATGGTGGTTTTCTGGAAAAAGGCTACCTTTACATTTGTAGTTTTTGACTTGTCAACATCTTAATTACAAATCCAGGCCATAAGCATGTGAATGTCTAGCACAGTTCCCCCACAGTCAGACACTTGTACACTTTATCACTTTCTGAATTTCTCCTTTGCTCACTGCAAGTTTAAATTGAGTAATAACTCAATTATTTAAATAATCTGAATTAAGATTGAGCTTCTGAAGATACGCATTTATTTAGATGTCCTCAAAAGGAAATTGATCCCTTCTGATTTTGGGAAGGCAGAAGTTGAGCAGAAGTTTTTTGTCTACTTCTGATGGCAAAAGCAAGTTCATGGAACAAGTTGCCTCAGTAATATTGAAAACTGGAATTCATTTGACTTTATGTAATAGTCTGGAATATCTTTGTGTCACAGGTGTCGGCTGTCTCCAAAGAATACCTTAATAAGTATTTTGGGACTTTATTTTTTTTTAGCAGTAGGGGCTTTTTTCATAGACAACCATGCGGTTTGTCTAAAACAAAGCAAAACAAAAACCACCAGAAACACCTCCCTAGAAACGGGTGATGCTTTGAAAAAGCATTTAAAGGCCAAACACTAAATAAAAGTAAAAACATTATTTGACAGAACTTGTCTTATAGCCAAATTTGCAGCAGAGAACTTTTGTATGGAAGCATGTGGTGGAGTTCTCCATCTTGAAAATCTGTTACCATGTTCCTAACTCTCTCATACTTCAGTGGTGTTCTCTATTCAACACTCTGACAAACTGAATTGCAGACTAATACATTCTAATGAGACAAGACATTACCTTTATGAATGACCTCATAGAGAAGAGGTTGGCTAACATTGTTGAAAGGCCTGGTGCCAGGCAGCTCTGGGCGATGAAGCCCAGCTTGAGCTCAGCAAGACAGATTGCATCATCCCCTTCTTTCCAGTTCCAGCTTGGGATATTTAGCAGATGGGCCTGGAAAACAAACAAACAAAAAATCCAGTAGGTGAAGAACCAAAAATACCTCCTCAAATACAGTACAGTATTGAAGGAGATAGCAGTGAATTTTTTTCTTTATTACTATCTTGACTTTTTCTGAGTAGGCAGAAGCACCTCAAGTGTTTGAGAGTTTAATTCTCTGCTAAGAAATGTTCCAATCTTATTACAGAGAAAACCTTAGAGTTCTCAAGCATTATTCTGGCTGTGACACTGCCAGGCCCATCCTCACACTGGAACAAACCACAAGAGTGTTGTAAAGTTTTCCTTCCTTCCTGTATATTCCTTTTACAGCACTTGAGCTACTCTCTGACCAATAAGGAACATACATAATATATATGAATCTAATATAACTTAGATTACAAATCATGTGAAACTGCAACCTTAATAAGACATTGTTGTTTAATAAGGTATACAACATCTTCAGTCTTTTCTATTTCATTCCTTCCACCCAGAAGGATAGCACTTCACTTAGTGAAAATCCAAACTTTTTTCTAAGACTTCTATTTGTAAGGAAAGAATAAACAAAATATTTAAAGCAAATAAAGACAATCAAGACACACTTCCAGTATAGACACTGGTCAGTCAGTTATTAATGTTATTCAGTTACTGGCATAACTGTTGATTCTCTCTTCCATCTGCCTTATACATTTTCATAGACAGAAGGAAACAGAGGACTTCTTGCTTGTTTCTCTTCATAAGTTCAGTACTTTGGTAACAGCTATTCTTGAAGACACATTCATTGGAAAAATACAATTCAAGGGAAAAAAAAACAAGGGAAAAATACAGCATTTAAAAGATCTTCTCCTCTGAACCTGTTTAAAGCAGAAAACACTTTACTTTTATTCTACAAAAACACAAGCTAATTCCATTCATGTACATGAAGAAGACATCACAAGCAACAGTAACTGCTCTTATTCTAGCCAAAGTTTACAAGTATCAGGAGTTGTTAGCAGTCACACTTCCTAGGTACCAGGATTTTTGTGTGTTTCACTGAATGGAGGTCTACCCAGCCGAGCTTCTTCAACAACACTGGGCAGTGGCTGATGCTTTTAGAAATTATAAAAGCATCAGGTCACATATTACTACTCTGTCCTCTGACACATAGCCCTTCTTCCTAGCCCTGTTACTCAGCAATTTATGGACTCCTTCATCTCAGGACTGCGTGAATTGACTTAATTGTATTTCAAGACCACAGATTTACCAACAAAAATTTGCCAAATACCTTTCCAAAGTGGATTTGTAATTTTCATCTCCACAGTATCGTTAGCAACAAATTCCACAACTGAACAATGTTCTCTATTAAAAAAAATTTTATTTAATTTTATTTACTTTGTACCTGCTACTTGGCAATTTCAGGTCTACAGCGACATGCAAGAACCAAAAAATCATAATAAATCTTCAATAAAGAAATAATTCTATGCATTTTTTTAAAAGTATCAACAAAGAACTGACTTCAGATGACTTGTCTAAAGGCAACTCATTTATCTTGGGTATCTCTAGTGTAATAAGCCGAGCAAAACTTACAGAAGCTGAGCAATTAAAAGTTCATCTGGAATCAATAGCAACTATGGACACCACAGCTTTCAGATTTACTTCCTAGGCAATTAATAAATGTCAGGATTTTGATAAGGCCCATTTTCTGATAAGTTCCCTTAAGGATTTTTTTCTTCAGAAAGAAAAATGTTTATTCTTAGTTTAACTAGAAAAATTGTGAATGAGTGAATGCAGAGGAGCAAAAATACTCAGGGGAGAGACACTGTTGGTCATCATATTACCTTATTGTGATACTGCAACATCTGGGTGATAATTCTTATCTTCGGATGATAATTCTTTATTGAAATAACTCTAAAAATAAAAGAAAAAAAAAACAATTAAAATAACTTAGAGCTGGTGGGATATCTGGATAATGTATTCCAATACCTCTATTTTAATGTGTTGTCAAATCCCACAATAAAAACTGTACTCTCTTCTTCATCTGACTGTAAAGCATACTGATTGAAATCAGACCCATGCAAAATTTACACCCAGTCAGATTCAGTTAATCATCAGCTAATACTGCAGAACATCAAACTTCAGGAATTACTCAGCTGGATGGTTTGCTCCTATGGAATACATAGAAAAAGAGTCTTGTTTTAGCAGCTCTGTTCAGATACTGTACTCATTCTTTTAAGTAAATAATATACTTGCAATTATTATGTCATCTTCAGTGATTACCTTCATATCTTTGAATCAACATAATTTATCAAGTTTTCCACTGATGTCTGAAACGAATCCCTTTCTTTCTGCCCCACCACATATTATTTATTTATAGTTGCTAGATATTCATTATATTTAAATACCTCAAAAAACTATTTTGACATAAATCCACATAGAAATTCATCTTAATTTTTACGGTTTATTCCAAAGTTCAATATTGAAACAGATATCTGAATGCTGAGTTTATAAAATATGGGGCTGCTTCCACAATCTGCAGTTTGCCTGAAATCTTAATTCTTTAATCAGTGTAAGATATACTCAACTGAGTAGGAATTAGAAATGGCTAGTAAGAAAAATTTTTGAGAGATTAGTGGACTGATTATGTGTTATGAGGAGAGGAATATACAATTTAAAAATGAAAAAAAGCATTGAGCAAAATTAAAGGGAGAAACAGGCCAAAAAAATCAGTTCTGTATATACAAGATAAAAGCAGAAAGAGACGATAAAACACTTTAAAACAAATAAACAAATCTGAATTATTATAGAAAAATCAGACTCGGAAGACTCTGAAAGACCTCACTATTTATATTGCTGGTTTGTAGGAAGTATCTTGCAAACTGCTGGTCTGGCTTGCACTTTGAACCATATCAAAGCTAGTGCATGAAGCAGATAAAAAAATCGTATGCATAAGTATAATTTAGGTTGTCTTTTGGAAGGACAAAACAAGCCTTCCTTCTAATTTTCCAGTCATTCAATAAAACATTCAATTTTGTTGAATCAAAATAATTTACATGTGAGAAAACAAGAGTATTGCAATCTTAAACTAACATTTTTGGATTTTATTACATTAAATCTGTTAAGAATGTACTAATCTGCAACTACAGTATTTTAAATGTATTTATGCAATTAATGTCAAAATAAAGTTTCTTGCATTGCAATCTAAAAGCATGCTTGCAGAATTAAATTAGGCATATTTAAGCCCTGTACCTTTCCCAGACAGTCAGATTTCTTGCACAGAGGGAACTTTTTTCAGAGGAACAATTTTAATCAATCTTTCTTTCTCCCCTTCTTTCCATTCACAGCACTCAAACATATGACAGGCCAGTAAAATTGGTTCATAACATTAGCCAATTCTATGTTAGAGAATTTTTAAAAAATCAGTTACATTTTAATTTTAAAAAGGAGAGACTAGTCTAAAACTAGGATTGTATGAACAAAACATGGAATGGCTTAGGTTTATTGTAACTCTAATTGCCATCTACAGACATTGTTTCACCCCCTTCCTTCAGAGAATATAAGGAGAAAAGCAGGACAAGATCTGGTGGTCTCTAATGTGCTAAGAGCCATGTCAATAAAAATAAGCAATGTTTGGCCTTCGATGTAAAAAAGGAGGATGGAGCCAGGAAACCATTGTATCATTACCATTATGAAGTGTATAATTTGCTATGCCATGAGCAGCACAATTACTTGTAGAAGCAGATATACCAAGGAGCAATGAAGTCTGAAGTGATTAAGAAGTGATCCTTCTGTCTCATCATTAACAGCAGCAGAGGCAGTACATGCACTAATGTAACAAACTGTTGCACAACATAACTGCGTCATCTTTTTCCTCATCTCTACTGAGGCCATGTGTCCTGCAAAATGACTAAGAGTACCAAAGCTTGTGTTCCAAGTGTCTCTTCTGA